TGCTGCTGCCTGTAATTGGCAGGACTTGAGCTGCCAACTCCAGGAGCACTTGAGTCGAAATAACTTCCAGTGTGAGCCGCATACGAAGTATCAGTGCCAGCACTGGTGTGCTGGTATGACGAGTGGGTTTCTGCGAACTGCATCCCGGCCGCTGCAGCACCGTGCGTCTGCTCCTGCTGATGGTATCCCGTCTGCTCGAATTGATTCGATGAATCCCGAGCCTCTGCCTGCGTCGGTGCCGAGGATGAAAAGAAGTTGGACGAAGAGCGCTGTCCGCCAAACTCTTGTGGGGCTGAACCAGCAAAACCGTCGAATGCTTGGGGTTGACTACCATCTTGGTCGTTCGCAAACGGCGACGCCTCTTGTTCCACAGCGCTTGTTGATGAATATCCAGCATTGACATCAGTAGCAGTGGAAGGGTATTGACCAACATTGCTAGCGTCATGCTGTCCCATGTCACTCGGCATAGCAGGCACACCGCTTGTCGCTGTGACATCCGCCGTTAAGCTCGCTTCAGTAACTGGTGCTGCAGGCGCTGCTGTACTCGCACCGACGTACTCACTGCCAGCGTGGTCAGCTTCTGGGTACATTTGCTGCTGTTCCTGCATCTGCTCCGGAGCGGGAGCAAATTCTTGTGCAGGCTGAGCGCCAGGCAGACTGGAGTCCTGATGCTGCGTCGTGTGCATTTCCGACGAGCCCTGCGAAGCCGACCCGAAGAACGATGACGCTGTTGCTTCGGTCGCAGAGGTTCCACCAAAGAACGAGTTCGCATCCACCGCTGGTTCTTCACGATGCTGCATATTCTTCTGGAGTTGGAAAGACGTGTCGCTTTCATATCGGCTCATTGAAGAGCTTGAAGCTTGACGCGACAAGCTCACATTATCAACTGAGCCGAAGGACGTGTTCAAGTCATGCGACTGCGTTGTAGATCGCATCGCGGTTGCAGTTGCTGACCCGTGTGCACCTTGCTGCTCCGCATAAGACGACGCGTTACTCGCGCTCCGCGAAAATGAAGGTTGGGCGTGAGTCTGCGCCGGTGGCTGCTGGTAAACTGATCCTGACGACACAGATGAACGCCCAAAGAATGCATCAGCAGATGCTCCCGACGATGAACGTGTGTGGCCGCCAAGTCCTCTCGCAGCGTTTTGCTCGTAGTGGGGTCGCGCCGGGCTTGCACTTCCAAAGACTTCTGCTGCAGAATGGTGGTTGTACTTACTTGGAGTTCCAGCCGTCGAGCCTTGCCCAAACTGCCGGCTGCCGGATAGGTGTTCCCGCTGTGGTGGTCGAGCTGGACTGTTTGCAAATGCTGATGTCGCGGACTGCTGGCTGTAGTTGTCCGGCGTTCCAGGAACTGATCTTTGGTTGCTGTACCGTCCAGTTTCCCGCATGTATCTACAGTAAATGCAAGAGCTACTTACT